TTTTGAAACGATAAAGTAAAAAAAATCAGATTAGAATTGATTACGCAGATACATATGCTAGATCTGAGGTCAAACGATGCAGTCGTCATTTGCAGTTTGATCATAAAATTGAAAATGAATAATAAAGCCGAACTGACCTTATCATATGAGGAGGAATTGTCAGCATTGCTTTCGTCAGAGTTTATTGAGTCATCACGTTGTGGTTGAAGACGTTGTTGTGAGGGATTATTGTGGATTGTGGTTGAAGACGGCGATTTCTGCGAAGAGGACGTATTGGATGATGGTGATACGTTGCTGGTGCGTAATGGCGACGGTGTACTAACAACACTGCTGCTGGATTTTGTTGTGGTGTTGGGAATGCTGCTAGTGCCTAGTGCTGCTGGATTGCCGAAATCTTTGGCGTGCGGTGACGATGTGCATCCGGCATCGAACGATGCCGAAAATAGATAGTCACAATTGTCGACGGCCGTTCGAGACTCACGATTCCCCATCGAATGCTGTAAATACGCCTCGAATTTAAATCCTCCATCCAATGGCCATGTAATTTTGAGGATTTTTATGTCAATTCTTTTTCGAAATACTCATTTGAATATAACTGGAATTTTGGTGTTTGGTTAGCTGGAAAATGTCGTCTGATGGATATTTTTTATGAATTTTGCTTTCATGATTTGGAATCTCATTATAATATTATCGCATCTTAATTTCATCTTAATTCTCAGTGATCGTTCGCTGCTGCGTTCGTTTGACGGACGGCTTTTTCATTTCCGAGCAAGAAATCAACGAATNGATAGATAGAGCAAACAGTTAATTCTATTCACTTTATCCATTATTCATTATTCACTGATGTTGTTGATAAATTCAAATGCATCACATCATCAACAAAACTTGATGGATTGAATGAACAAAAATTCTCACATCAGCAGCACAACACCCGAAAAGACCATCGCAAAAGTGCGGCAATATTTTGCTCGCAAATTTGATCAGATCAATCACCAATCAACACAACACAGATGTGCGTGCTTCTCATAAAAGCACATCTAGATTTATGATAATATTTCGTGAAGATGGCATTCTGTATTACCAACCCGAATAAACTACCATGAAGCAGCGCGATTTATTGCGATTGCAATCAAGACGACGAAAACCGTCAGTGGAATCAATGTTGATGATGCACAATAGTGCAACGACCATAAAACGTCACAGACATATTTTCGTGTGAAATTTTGAATTATTGCGCTGAGGTTGGTTAAACGCGCTGAGAATGATGCACGTTCATGATGGTGCACTTTGAGAGATCGAACAAACACACATAAATCACATGATTTGTTTGGATTAAACACAATAACGTCTTCCTTCAACAACTAATATCCGAGCTTCTTGGGAAGTCCTGGCATACGGCTGACAATAAATGAGTTCAATCAAAATCACCAATTTTGCACGGCCAGTGCACAACTGACATTAAGAATGCACATATTGAACTGCCGGTCGCAAAAAATCATTCATAAATTGCTCATAATAGAAGAGCAAGAATTGCTATTGTTTATGTGATGAAGCATAAAAATTCTGAAATAATGAATCGGAAAAATCATCACCACAACCGAATGCGCTGAAAGTAGTGCAGTAAGTGTAATCACTTCACCTTGTGCATGAGAGTGCCAAATGGGATCGATCATTTGCCTCGTAATTAAGTTTACCGAAGAAATGAGGGAATGTATATTCGAAACTCGTCGAAGTTTATTAAACTAATTGGAATATTATTCAACTTTATGAAGAGCTTGTTAAACCGCGCGAAAATTCAGAGCTGAAAGTTATGTTTGCTTCAATGAGTGGTCAAACAAACCTTATAGAAGAGTCGTCGTAACATCATTCGATGTTGATCCGAAAATGATGTGTCAATCGAAAATAGTGATGGTGAAAATCTGCAGTTTTGAATACTAGTAAGCTGTGAATGAGAGGAGTGCGAATTGATGGCGAGCACGAAACAATTTCAATATTAACGTCGGAAATATGTCAGAACAAGATACTGGAATCCCGACTATGGTCACATGAAATTTTAACGAACTCTTAACGAAAAGTGCGTTCACTCGCTGAATGAATATGCAACTCGAACGAAGAAACGTGTGTGAATATTATATACACAACTACTCGACTAAATCATCACTCTATTGACATAATGTAGTAATTTTGGTGTCTATTCACGATTTAGAAACAACGCTTGACGTGATTGCGACTGTATGACGAGCACGGGATGACAAATCCGACATAGAGGTGATGAAAAAAGTAGAAAACATTATCAGATACACTAACACTGGATTAAACACTTAATTTTGTAAATATTTACCATGCTCATCGTCGATAGAAGCA